GCGGGGCCTCCGTCCTCCTGGCGGGGCCTCCGTCCTCCTGGCGGGGCCTCCGTCCTCCTGGCGGGTCCCCGACACCAGCACCGCGATTTCAACCCAACCCTTGGTACCCCCTGCCCGATGCTGTGGAAGCTTCCCCAGGCCTGACCCCAGCCCCCTCTCAACACACACGCGCACGCACACACACGCACACGTGCACACACCAGGCACGCGCACACATGCACGCACCAGACGCGCACGTGCACACTCGTACACACTGGCACACCCATGTGCACGCACATGCACGTGTGCTCGCACACACGCACCAGACACGCACGTGTGCACGCACATGAACGCGCGCACTCGCACAGGCACACACCACACATCCGCACTCATGCACACGTGCGCACACATGCGTGTGCACACTCGCACAATGCACTCACACCCGCACACCGCACACACGCTAAGCCCCTCCCTCCGTACCAGTCCCCGGGGCCCGACACGAGCACCGCTGAAGAGCACAGTCAAGTGCAGGGATGGGAATGGGGTGGGGGGGCCAGGCACCAGGAGGGAGGACCTGGGGACCCAGGCGAGGAGGACTGGTCACTGTCCCTCCCCCCATGAAGGTTACAGCACCCCTGGGGTCACTGTGAGGCGGGCTGGCTGCAGCGAGGGTGCAGCCCCCCAGGGAGAGGAGGGCAAGGTCCAGGACGGCACACGGCTGGCCGGTATCTACCTCCCCCTCTGGCCACAGAGGCCCCCGACGGGCGGTAACCCTGGGGGTGAAGACCACCTTTGTCCGGAACGACCAGGGGCGTAGGGTGCAGGGTGAGGATTCGGGCCACGGGGAGGCCGAGGGACGGCGGGGCGCTCCGACCTCAGCGCCCTCGCCCCAACCTCGGCACAGCCCTGCCTGGACACCGAGTCTGCGCCGGTCCCGAGGCGGGGAGAGGCCCGGGCAGGGGGCTGGCTCGGCACCTGCCGCCCCCACCCCCAGCTCCTCCAGTCCCGGGTCATCTGTTGCTCTCTCTGCCCGGCGCCCCGCGAGCCTGCTCGGATCTGCCCCCACGGCCGCACCCACGGCGCCTGGCACTTTCCTCGGCCCGCACCGCCAGGGGCCCGGCCCGGCGCGGCCCGAAGAGGGAACAGGAGAGGCGGCCGGCACTCCGCTGCCCTGGGGGCCGTGTCCAGCCTGGCCTCTGACAGCCTGGGGGTGGGGGGACATGGGGACCGAGGGCCCGGGACACAGAGTCTGCAGACGAGAAGCCCCAGAGAGAACCCACGAATCGGCTGGCACCCGAGGTCGGCTGCACGAGGCTCACTCCCGGGGCCCCAGACGGCAAGACCTGCGCCGAGAAGGGCCCCCAGATCACCCCCTGCCCTGGGCAGCAGCGGAGGGCCAGCGCGGAGGGAAGGGCGGCCCCTCTACGTGCCCTCTGCCCTCCCCGGCCCCCGGGCACGGCGGGAGGAAGCGCGCCGGGGAAAGGGCCGCGGCCCCAGTGGGCAGCAGGCGAACGCGCCCTCCCGGCACACAGTAGGGCTCCCGGGACGTGGGGACCGTGCAGGGCCCTCTCGGGCCTCTCAGCAGCCCTCCCCACAGTCTGCACTCCTGCCCGGGCAGGGCTCGCTCTGACGGCAGCCTGGGGAAGCCAGGCCATGGCAGGTGTGGCCCCCACTCAGGAGAGGCCCTCCAGGGGGCGGACCGGGCCCCGCCGGTCAGCACCCTCCAGGCCACAGGTCTGGCCCGGGCCCACCGTGGCCCGAGCCCGGCGAGCGCCCCCGACCCTCAGCCAGGGTCACCACTTCCCTGGCGAGGGTCGCCTCTTCTCTGCTCGGACGAGGTGGGATGAGAGCAGCCAGTTTCCAGCGGGACGGGCTTCACGCCTGGAGAACACGGGCTTCTCGTTCCAGAGAAAGCCGGGCTTTTCCTAAAGTGTCTCAGCACCGACACTAAAAATACCCTCGCTAAGCCCTCCGGCCCCTTCCAAGGACACTCCGTGTGTCCCGTGCACCCCGCTCTCAGGGGCCCGTGGGGGCGGGCCAGTGCCCTCTCCCCAGGAGGCCCTTGTCCCCACAAGGGGTCTTGCGGGTGGAGAGAGGCCATCCAGACCGGGGGCAATGCGCGTGGTGACCTGGCCTCACTGACCTCACAGAGGAATCGTGAGACAGAGGGTCTCAGGCCAGAGAAGAGGCCACTTCGGGTCTCTGGGGGGGGGGGGCGGGCGCGGGGGACCAAGGGCCCTGAGGGGTCTGTTCCTCCAGCACCGACGTCCCTCACCCACAGCCAAATGGGGAGCCCTGGGTGCCTGACCTGGCCAGACCACTGGGCGCCAACGGCCCCACAGAGTCTGGGAGGGCCGGGCAGGTGCAGAGACACAACCTCGGCCACCACTGACACAGAACCCAGGACATCAGGCATCCCTGGAGGCCAATTCTCCAGGCACGGGGGGGGGGGGGGGGGGGCGGGGGGGCAGCTGGGGGCTGACAGGCCCACCTCCCGGGGCCTACCCTGCCCTCCCGGCCAAGGGCCCAGCTCACCTGGAGGGTCCCCTGGGCGGAGGCTCTTCTTGGCCACCTCGGCCAGCGCCCCGAAGCCTAGACCCACGGCCAGACCTGCAAGGAGAAGGGCGCTGGGTGCTGGCACAGGGGCCACCCGCCCTTCCGTCCACGAGGCCCAGAGCAGTCCCACGGTCACCCGCCTCCGCTCCGACCCTCGCTGACCGCCAGACGATGCAAAAAGGGAGAAAAAAGGTAGGAGACACACATCTGCTATTTTCAGAGGTTTGGCTCAAGGAAGCTCCATCCAGCTGGACCCTCATCACCCTTGCTAGTCTGCAGGCTCCCCGCGCACAGACCCTAAGAAAACGCCCAAGCAGGAAGGGTTTCCGGCACGAACGGAATACGCGCCAGGAACGGTCCGTGGGCCGAGGACATCCTGGCCACACGGGGCACCCCTTGGAACGCGGCCGCTCACTCCGGCGTGACCCGGCGTCGCAGTTCTCTAGAACTCTCGCAACTGGAAGGAAAGCCCTCCCTGCAGTGATATGAAGCAGCCGTCGGTGGGCGTCAGAGCGTCTGCAAAGGCAAAGTGTCCCTAATCCGAGCCGTGGAGACTCACAGGACCGCGGGCCCGGCAGGTGCAGATGGTGGTCTGAGGACAACAGGGGACCAGATGATTTCTAATCTAAAAATGTTTCAGAATCATCCACAAAGTTCATTAATACGTCTTTTGTCCAAAGACCAGAAGTGCCTGATCCCGACCGTCCAAGAAAGGCCCACGGAACCCAATAGGTGCCACTGAGGCCACACAGAAAGCCCAGGGGCGGGCCAGGGCTGAGGTGGGGGCGCACATTAGCAGAGAGAAAGACGACGCGCCTGAGCCCACTGACCCCGCGGAAGGGACAGCAGAAACCCAGGGACGACACCGGACAGGCCCCGAGACCCGTGGGGCTGGGAGACCGTGGGGCAGCAGCCCCCACGCCCAGTGGGTGGTTTAGTGAGCCAGGAACCCAGCAGAAACATCTGCGTTCTCCGAGCTTCTACAACGATTACGTATTCGTGTTACGAAAAATGTTATTCTACTGAAAATTTTATTTAACGAGAAACAGTTAAGTGCAGACGTAAACAATTTTTTTTAATTTTTTTTTTTAACGTTTTATTTATTTTTGAGACAGGGAGAGACAGAGCATGAACAGGGGAGGGTCAGAGAGAGAGGGAGACACAGAATCTGAAACAGGCTCCAGGCTCTGAGCTGTCAGCACAGAGCCCGATGCGGGGCTCGAACTCATTTAAATCAAAAGAAGGTAACCCAACCCTACAACGTGCTCTGGCGACACACATCTTCCCCACCGGCAGGCCGGTGGGCAGCCTCCTTCCGCCAGCCAGAAGCAGGGCTCCTGCCCCACAGGTCATGGCCGGGACTCACCAGTCCACCAAGAGCGGGCACTCCCAGCAGGGCCAGGCGCCAGCAACGCTCCCGTGTTCGCCACGCTCACTTCTCCCATTCAAAACGGCTAGACCGGTGCCGTCCCGAGAAATACAATGCCAGCCACGTGTCTAATGTTAAATTTTCTGGGGTGCCTCGGTGGCTCAGTCAGTTGAGCGTCTGACTTCGGCTCGGGTCACGGTCTCTCCGTCCGTGAGTTCGAGCCCCGCGTCGGGCTCTGCGCTGACGGCTCGGAGCCTGGAGCCTGCTTGGGACTCTGTCTCCCTCTCTCTCTGCCCCTCCCCTGCTCATGCTCTGTCTCTGTCTCTGAAAAATGCATAAACCTTAACAAAAAAATTTAAATTTTCTAGTAGCCACCTTACAAAAGGCAAAAAGAAGCATGTGAAGTGAACGTGCGTCCTCTATGTTATTTGACGTAAAACAGCCAACATATGGTCATTTCTACAAGTGCTCTTACAGACGAAAATTGCTAGAGGTGTTTCAGGGTTTTGTTTTGCTTTTGTACAGAGCTCGCAAACTCCAGAGTCCAGGCCGGACAGGATGGGCCACGCTCTGGAGGCCACGGGAAGAAGCCAGTCACCCGAGAACAGCCCCCTGGGCCCTCTCAGGATGTCCTGGTGCCAGGACACGGGCGCTAGGGCCTGTTTTCCCGCCAACCAGCTCCGGACGGCACTGGGCACAGAGCCGAGGGCAGCCAGGGTGCCAATTAAACATTAACTCTCCTGCTGCCCGCCCACCTCACCCCTCCCAACACATTATCTGACTCCGCAAAGGAAATGATAACAAGCAAGGTTAACCTTCAAACTATAGTGACTTTCACCAAGGTCTCTCTGCATCTAGATTTTTCTCTGCCGAGATCAAGTCCAAAGTCAAGCCCACAAAAGAGGCAGATGTCTTCAAAGGTTAACCAGCCTGGCCAGTGCTTGCAGGGGTGCCCCCCCTCCCCCACACCCGGTCAAACTCTTGGCGGCCATCTCTCCACCGCTGGGCAGGGCCAGAGCACGTTCCACAAAGACGGCCTTAGACTTGCCCCACGCCGGCCGGAGGTGCTGCCGCGGCCCTGACCTTGGCCTCAGGAGCTCCTGCTCCAGCGAACCAAGAATAAACCGGCCCCCCCGCACCCCCACCCGGGCTCAGGCGATGCCCGGAGCCGCACCGACCGGGAGGCACAAGGCCGGCCAGGCTCTTCAGTCCCCCAGAACCGGGCGGAGGCAAACGGGCAGCCCCTCCACCTCGGACGCCCAGAGCCCCGCTAAGCCAGCTCACAGCCTGCGTCACCCCTGACCTCAGTCCCCACCCCCGCCCCCGTCGTGCTCCGGCCCACACGGCCACAGGCAGCTGCAGAACTGCTCTCGGCCCCCCCGCATTGGCGACAGGGGCCTCCGTCCTCGCCTGCGAGCAGGCGCCAGGCCTTCCAAGACAGCTGCTGGCGGTTCTGTCGTGAACAGAGGTTCTGCCGTCAAGCGTGGGGGAGGATGGCAGGGTCCTCCCCAGAGACGGGAGAGCGCTGGGCCGGCTTCCCAGGCCCCCAGTCTGGGCCTGTCCCCGCCAGGTCCCTCCAGAGGGCATCGGGGCCACCGGGCCGCTGTCCAGACAGCCATCAGAGGTTAAGAAAAGGAAAAACAAAACACCCTCCAGCCAACAGCCTGGTGAGGGTGCCCCGAGCAGGAAGAGGAAGCAAACGTTCCTAGGGGCTCTGGCTTCACCCACCAGCAGCCCCGGGTGTGTTCACAGAGCCGGCTCGCAGGGGTTCCTGTGCAGGGGCCGCGGGCAGAGGGGTCTGCGGACAACAGACCGTGTGCCGGGCTGCTCTGAGCCTCGCTTTTGTAACCCTAACGGTCCTTCTGATCTTAGAAGACAAAGCTACGCGTGGAGGAGGCAGGGGCTCCAAGGGGACCCTGAACCCTCGGGAGTCCCGGCTGCCCTCTCCGCCATCACTTGCGCCCTCCACCCTGCCTGGCCCGGGGTGGGTGGCAGGAAGGAGTGGAGTCCCTGGACAGGGTGCCCCCAGGCTGTCAGGAGCTGCCTCCCCCCCATGCCCAGCACCGGCCCGGCCGTGGACGCAGGGGCTGGTCACAGGTCCCCGGGCTCAGATCACCGTGGGCGCAGCGGGGCCTCCCCTGCTCAGGTCCCTGCAACGTTACGAATGCGCACGTGGCCCCAGGGACCCAGGCGCTGTGGCCCCACTTGTCATCAGAACTGGAGATGACAGTAAGTGCCCTCGCCGTCCTCACAGAGCTCCTGAGGGGCAAGACAGACACACGCGCCCCTGGTAACGCACCTCCCGAAAAGCAGAAACCCCGGCCCATAACCCCCGCTGAGTGGGCACTGTGGGACGGTTCTGCACGGCTCCTGGCCCAGGCCACAGGACCCCCCTGTCTATCACCAAACTTCTCACTCTGCCTTCTACCCTTCCTCTTGGGAGCATGTCCTTTGTACATTATTAAAATCTCCTTTAAAAAAAGATAAAGTGAAAACAGTTGGTGGGAGTGTCTTTTGTTTTAAACGTGCTTACTTAACAAAATCAGAAAACAACCAAATATGCCTGTTCCCCCAACGTGTGTTTGTTCACCAGCAGGAGGGGACACAGGAGCTCGCTCTCCGGAGCGCGCCGGGCCCGCGTCCCCATGTGTCAGAACCATAGCAGCCATCGCTTTGGTCTTCTGCCCAAGCGACCTTCTCTTCCAACAGACAGGACACTCTTTCGTGGCCACACCTCTCTTTTTTCAGTATGCTGTTTTCTGACTAACACGTGGCCCAGTGTTCTAACGGCAAGAGAGTCCTGCAACCAATAGCAGAAACACGTGTGGACAAGGGGAATCACGTGGCAACTGAAGCATATGAGGGACAAATGGACACACGAGTCCCACGGTGCCCTTGACCCTTTTCCATACCTCAAGACTTTTTTTTTTTCCTCTGCACCCAATGTGGGGGTCGAACTCACGACCCCGAGTTCAGGAGTCACCTACTCCACCGACTGAGCCAAGTGTGTGCCCCATTACCTTAGTCTTAACAAACCCGATGAAGCCTCACGAACCGTTTTTTAAAGCAAGTATTTATCTGGGACTCACAGTTCCTTAACCTTTTACCTTCTAAAAATGGAAGGCTTCCCCAGGGTCCCTTCCGGCTGCTCCTGGCTCCTGCCCCACTGTCTTGTCCTCACATCTGTTTTCTAGACCCTATTTCACAATCGCCTCCCCACATCCCCCTTATTTCTTCCTGTTGCTTCGCGTTTTGTCCCCTCCAAGTGTCCTGTCACCTCGGTGCCCTCCCCGCTTCTGCCTGGCGGCGCCTGGGAGGTCCTGGCAAGGCCCGCAGCCGCCACGACACCGTGAAGGAAGGCGCGCCCGGCCGGCCGGGATCAGCTCCAGGGCACCTGCTCCGTCTCTCCGATCTTCCGTCCCGCTCACCCGACGGCCGCGGCGGGGCCCGGAAGACAAGTCCCCTCAAGCCCAAACTGGAAAGGAGACGGTGGGAAGGACAGGACAGAGTGCAAGAGCCATGCATGACGAAGCCCGACACACCCAACACGCATGTGATGAGGGCCCCCAGGAGGGGAGCAAGGGCGGAAACGGGGCCGAAGCAGTGCCAGAAGAAATGACCAGAATCCCCAACACTGACTGGCACGCCGAGCCGCAGATGGAAGCGTCCCCACCCCAGTCATCGCCAGGCCCCTACTTCGCGGGGCACCAGGACTCCTCTGCGGCCGGCGGCCACCCCACGAGGTCGGGCCCCAGCCGACCACCAAGGGCTCCGCGTCAGGAGAGCGGCGCGCAGGTGGCCAGGCAGAGGCGGCTGCGGAGGAGCCCCGGCTACGCGGGCGCGGGGGCGGTGTCTCTATCAAAGTCGTTTACACACGCCTGGGTTCGGCTTCCGGTCCGTGGCCCCGCCCCACGGCCCCCAACCCTGCAGTGTCTGTGCAGCAGGGCAGGCCACACACCGAGGGGCCTCCGGATGAGGGGGAGGCGGCGGCGTTCACCTTGAACTGCGCCCTGGGCCCGGATCCCGTCCCGGTCACCGACCCCGGCGGTGTGTCCCGCGCGGCAGCGAGCGGCGCCCAGAGGGAAGAACACGTGGAGTAGGGGACCCCCGTGCCCAGGAAGAGAGGCTCCTGCCGGGGCATCAGCCACGTGGCGGCCTGGTGTCCCCTGAAGGCCCCACAGGCCCCCGGGCTCACAGGGACAGCCAGCCTCCTTCCGGGAGGAGGAAGAAGAGGCCCACGGCCCTGCCCGGCTCCCAGGACGGAGCCACAGGGGAGGAGGGCGATCCTTCTGTGACCCCGAAGTTCCGAGGAGTGGGTGGCAGCGGGCAGAGTGGAGGAAGTGGGGGCAGGGTGGGTGGGGAGCCACCACTCCCTCCTCCCTCCTGGCAGAGTCGGGGAGGGAAGGGGAGGCAAATGAACCCCACCCAGGCTGTCCACACGCTCATGAGGGCCCGGGCCGGGGGGGGGGGGGGAATTGGGTGTGAGGCGGGGCCTCTCCACATCTGGTCTCCTCTGGCTCCAGGTGCGGGGATCCCGCCCCAGCGACGGGCAGTGCCCGCAGGCACGGGGGCTGCTCCTAAGCTGACTCCCACCCCCTGTGGGCCGCTGGAGCTTGATCCGTTCGCTCCCTTGGAAGACGGCACGATGGGCCCCCTTCCTCCAGGATGCCAGCTGCACCAGCGGCGTGCCGATGACGGGTCCCGTGCATTTTAACGTCTCGTGATATCGATATTCTGGTGTCATATTCTTGTGCATTTTACCCTGAGGGCCTCCTTCCTGCACTGCGTTCTGAGCAATGTCAAGGGCGAGTGGGGGACAGCTCCGGGTCTGCCCAGCAGGAACACTCTTTGCTTTATCACCAGGGAGAACCACCGTTTCAAGGGCGTAGCCTATGAACCACCTCGGTTTTGCCAACTGGAGCCAGCGTCTCGGCCCCAGGATCCTCCCGGAGCTCCTGCGTTTTCCCTGCTCCGGGGGAGACTCGGATTTCACTCCGTGGCCCCATGACTTGATCTCTTTCTACCGGAAGATTGGAAACTGGGTCTGAACAGGAAAGGGCGGTACCAGAGGGTTAGCAAGGCCGCACCAGCTGACGCCAAATTAGCCCACAAGTGTGATAAAGGACTCCTGCTCAGGCTTCTAATCCCGGGGCAGGGGACTCTACATGCCAGATGTATCCTTCGGTGGGTTGGGCTGTGCCTCCCATGCACAACAGGGGTGGGTGTGTGTTTAAAAAGATGAGTTGTTGGGGCACCTGGGGGACTCGGTTAGTTGAGTATCTGACCTCAGCTCAGGTCATGATCTCGCAGTTTGTGAGTTCAAGCCCCGCATCGGGCTCTCTGCTGTCAGCACAGAGCCTGCTTCAGACGCTCTGTCCCCCTCTCTCTGCCCCTCCCCTGCTCACGCTATGTCAAAAATAAACTCACCCCCTCTGGACCCATCTTGAGCCGCCCAGGGATGGGTACATGAAGGAAAGGCTAAATTTCCTAACCTTTATAAATTCTGGGCTTTTCTCATTGGCTTCCAGAGAGACCATGAGCCACGGCTCCCTCGTGGTACCCAGAGCTGGCACTCTGCCCTGCGGCAGCGCTGCCCGGGGCCGTGGGAGCTAAAGGAGAAGAGAAGGTTTCACTTACAAGCCGTGAGATCACCACGAACCTATGCCACTGATCTGGGATGGGGCAAATGCAGCAGAACACATGGGGCGGGGGGTGATGTGTGTCTGATCCTGGGCTCTTGTCTCTCCAATCGCTGCCGCCCCCTCCCCCCCCCAGTTCCCGTCTTTCGACGGGACTTCACGAAAAGCTGACTGGGTGACCTCTAGGTGGCCTGGTTTGTGTATATATAATGTTTGCCTTCTCCATGTTCTCTTGGGGTTTTATTGTTGACAAACTTTCTGTACAGATAAAAATAGCCACAGCATCTCTGACAAATGTTCTGCACCAGGAAAAGAATCTGGAACATAGCTTGGTGACCCCTCTTGAAGTGTGGGAGGTCTTGAACCACACTTTCTCCTGTTCCCCTTCCCCTATTGACTATTTTGGGTCAGATCGCCTCTCCTAAAAACTTGACTCCTACCCTATCTCCTCTTCTATCCCCCTCCTTAAAAAAACAAAAACAAAAACAAAACAAAAACAAAAAACCCGATTTTATAGAAGGGAAAACCTAGGTCACAAGGAAGCAGGGCTGGAACTATAACCCAGATATTACAACGGCATAAAGCCCAGTTCTGACCCCAAATCCGGTATCTGAACCCATCTTTCCCATCATCACTCTCTACCAGGACCTACTGCCCACATCTTAGCCATGATACCCCAGAGCCGTCCTGGACCCAGGACGCCCACCCCCATCTCGGCATCGGAACGGCTGGCACAGCCCCTGCCCTCCACCTCCACTAGCTGAGCACCCGACCTTCCGGTCTATAGGAGTCCCCTTCCTTCATGTCCCCTTGTAAAACATTCCCACACCTGCCGGTCCACCTGTCGCCCCATGAGGGGAAGAAGGTTGGAAGTGCTTTCTAGAGAAACAAAGAAGAGGAGTGTTACCTCCATCTGTGCAGACAATGACCCACCAGGAAACCACACACCTCACAACCCGGTGAGGAACACACACAAATAGGACGCTTGTACCTCTGGACAAAATGGCTTTTTGCAACGCGTACGGTTCTGAGAATCTCTGCCATTAATTCTGACGGTCTTCTATTCAATTCCATTCCACTTGTTTTTCAGATGTTGGGCCTGACCCACGAAGTTCATGTCACACCCACCGAAGGGTCGAAACGCACGGCGTGAACGCGTCCCGGGGAGGGAGGAGGCCCAGAAGTCACCTCTGGAGCCGGAAGGGCACGTTCCTCCCAGACCCGGCCCCTCTCTGCTGTCATCCTACCCCCTCGAAGCCCGAAACACGAGCTGCCGAGTGCTGGGCAACAACACGGGCCTCCCTGAATCACAGCCGTGGGCCAACCTCTGGCGCTCGGACACCCAGGACGGCTCCAGATCCCGGCAGCCGTCAGCGAGGGCTCCGGGGGCTTCTGATGGCACAGAGCACCTTCCAAGACCTGAACCTCACCTCACCTCACCTCAACCCAGGCTGCCTCTGGCCACCCGCCCCCCACCCAAGGGGAGCCTCGCACCCGGTCTTCCCGAGGCTGCCTCTCTGCCCTCCACCCAGGAGGGCCTGGCTTCGGCCTCTTTCGCCAGGAATTCGTGGCCTTCCATCACATTCTAATTTACCGCCACACCCTTCAGTCTGACCACTTTTCCCCGAACAGACCCTCTACTACCCTCACCCGCAAAGACTCCCACGAGAGGATCACCCGTCTCTAAAACCCATCGGTCAAAGGAAGCCTCTGTGGCGAGCCCCATCTGGAGCGGCAGGAAGGGGGCTCGAGAGAAAGACTACAGAGCGACCAGGGACAGATCGGGCCTCAGACTCGTGGGGAGAGACGAGGGGCCCCATTCAATACTTCGGCAGGAACAAACACTGCCCGCCCCGCCCCGACGAACAGCCTCTTACAACACAGGGGCCGCGCTGGGTCTCCTGCGGAATAAGGACCGCCGGAGGCCCCCAGGGCAGGGACTCCCAAACTCATCCTGGTAGCGGCCCCCCAGAAGCCACACGCTCCGTGAGACACCGGCTGAACGCAAACCCACGAAAGGAAATAAAGCAAGGACTCCGTCCCGAAAGTCAGACGATGCTCTGCCAGATCCTCGAGCAGCTGAGGAACAGCAAATGCCAGATTTTAAGACAGCGACGATGGAAGGAAAGCTTCCGCGGAGAAACTTCCATCCAGTGAAGGCGGCGGGCTCCGCGCGTTCGGAAGACAGCCAGCCAGCGTGAGAGCCCACACGCGGGTCCGCCTCCAGGAGCGCGGAGCCAACCCCGAGGGAGAACTAGGACGGCACCTCCGGGACAAGAGGCAGCAGAGACAGAACAGCGTGGATGATGGACAGTGTCGGGAGGGAGACGCAGAAGCCCAGCAAAGCGCAGAGCGAGCGGGGCGCGGCTCAGACACACGGCAGCGAGCCCTCACCCGGGTCAGGAAGGAAGTACTGGAGATGACAGCACGGCGTCAGAGCAGGTGCAAGCGCCACCACCTTTCACTGAAAGGCCGTCCCCTCGGCGCAGGCGTACCCGACGCAATACTACTCTCGGAGCTCCCGGCTCCACAGGCCTCACGACAGCACCCGCGACACCCGCAGGCACGGCGGGTCAGGGCAAACACCACTCTGCCGGGACTAACCAGCCCCGTGAGGAACCTCTCCTCGCCAGCCGCCCCCACTTGCCGAGGGGCTGAGTGGCAGATGCTGCAGATACCGTCCCCAGGCGTGGCCCGAGCAGCTCATGGCACAGCGGCGGCAGGAGGAATCCAGTCACCGGGTCGTCCCCCGAGGGAAAGGGCCAGGGACAGCTAATGCAGGAGCCGACGCCCTCCCCGGGACCCCTGTGGCCCCCACCGTCCTCCTCCTCCACGCAGGCCCCGCGGTGGCCCCGCTCAGCCGGGGCTGGCACGCCAGGGCGGGTGAGGTGGCACGGGGGCACGCGGCCACCTTACCTCCAAAGTTGGCCAGCCGCCCGATCCGTGTAACTGGCACCTTCCGCTCCCGAGCCCGCTCGCTGAGCTAGAGGGAGCAAGGAGAGAGACCTCACGGAACTGGCGATCGGGGACAGGACCCCCTTCGGGGCTTCAGGCTGCCCCCCCCCCAGACCCCCTCCACCCCCGAAGGCAGCCGCTCCACCAAGAGGGGGCCTCTGTGCTCCTGGAGACTCCAGAGAACGACATCCAGGGGTGTCCCCGGAGGAGGGCCCGCCGCCGGCACCACCGTGGACGGCAGCCGCCCCAGCCCCATCCGAGGGCCCGTCCGGGACGCACCATCTGCTTGTGGGGCTTGCTCTCGGGGCGAGCCTTGGCCTGCCGGGCCTTCTCAATGTCCTCGGCGGTGAGGCCCCCCATGGGGGACTGGTCCTGGTGGAAGAACCTTCGCCGAAGGCCTGTGGCAGAGAGTGGGTCTCTGGGGTCTCCAAAGAGCCTCCCGGTCACCGTGCCCAGAGGGGAGGCAACCTGGCCCGGGAGCCCGGCTTCCCTAAAGGGTCCGCTGGCAACGTAGGCAGGAGCTGGGCCCTCACTGCCGGCCTGGTCCCAGGGTGGAGGCGGCGACCGGTCAGGGGAGGAGGCCGCAGAGAAATCCGTGGGGGCCCCTGCGGTCTGAGGCCCAGAGAACTCTGCTTCCGGGTCATCGAAGCCCTCGGCATATGGCTCTTCACGCCGATCCTGACCCTGCAGGAAACAAAAGCGGAGTGAGAGGAGGAGGCCAGCCCAAGGCTCCCCTGTGTCACCCCCGCACAGGACAGCGCGCTCCAGGAAGCAGCCTCGGCCGGCTCCACAGGGGCGAGCCTCCCCGGCCCGGAAGCCCGGAGACGCAGGCTCCGCTCCGCGGACCTGGGGGGGCAGGGGGTGGGCACACAGCCACCCAGCACCTGCCGGGCACCTTGCCTGTAAATCAGGGCTAAGGAGGGGCTCCCAGGGCTCTGGGGAATGGGCCGGGCCAACGGACGGGGAGAGCTCTGAGAGGTAAAAGGCCGACCAAAGACTGGCGAGGGCCGTGCAAGGACGGCGTCCACCCGCCACACCCGGCCAGCATCTCGCCGCAGACGCGGCCATCACAAGTCGGCCCGGCCGTTCCTCTAAGAGGCACTTGGCCTCTGTCCCCAGGAGCTGCAGGTCCAGGGCAGGCGAGGAGGGAGGCGCCACGTTTTCCCCGCAGCCGTCACAGAGACCACGCTGCGGGCCCAGGTTCTTCGTACGTCAGAACCCTGCGTGGCCTGGAAGGCCTCCCGACCCCTCCCTGCTACTCGCTCATCTGGAAACAGGGCTGCGCACAGTCACAGAGCTGTGTGGGCCACAGGCCGGGGAACAGCACGGGCTCCCGGGGGACGGCGCGGAGGGATGCCCCGAGGCCGCAGAGGAGGGCGCGGGGCGCACATGGTGCCTGCAGGTGCCGCCAAGCTGCACCTTAGCCTGCGGGACACGGAGGGGTCTGAGGACGGAAGCCGTGCCCTCGGGGAAGGAGAGAGACCGGCCATGACGCCGTCGCTCTCATTTCATAAATGGGAAACTGAGGCCGGGAGAACGGAACTGATCTGGTAAAGGCCCGGCGACCGGCCTGTGGCAGAGCGGGGATCGCTGGCCCCGCTGGCCACCCTGCCACCACCAGACAGCACTTGTCAGTGCTGGGCAAGCCCGGTGGGGAGGGGGCGGGGCAGGCTCACGGGAGCCTTGGCGGTGGGGCGTCCTCCTGCCCTAAGTGCCGTAACTCTCCCCCGAGTGTCTGCTCAGCGAGTAAGGTAACAAATCCCTTGAAGGACTAGAGGGTCAGGCATTTCTGATTACCCGGCCCGCCAGCCCCCCTGAGGCAAGGGGACACCGACATCTGAGTTTTTGGGAAAGACCAGGAGCACGCTGAGGGCCATCACCTCGCTCAGTGTCCCCTCCGTGGTGGGACCGCCACACCTCTCCCACCCCACCCCCAGGGATGCCGCTGGAGGCTGGGAATCCTAAAGTCCCGACCAAAGCCCTGGGGGCTGTGACAGCCTCACAGCTTGGAGCAGCAGTGGCCTTTGTCCACAAGGCCAGACAACCACGCAACAGAGACGGACGGACGGAGGTGGCAGGGCGCCCCCTCTGCAGCCCAACTCCAGGCCCACACGGCCGTACACACCCATCTCCCCATCCGCTCGGGCGCCAGGAACGTCTAGGTGCCCTGCAAGGTGCCGGCCCGGTGGACAGCGCTCTGCGGCTGCAAACCCTGGGGACGGTCGCCTGTCCCGCACGCGGTTTTGCCTGTGCCCCTGCACAAGAAAGGTCTCTGGGCTGGGCACACAGGACGGCAGGACGGTGAGGAAGGAGGGGGGTGGGCTGTGCCCGCTGGCACCTGGGACGGAGCGGGCCCCCCACACATGGGGGAGGGAAGCCCGGCCCGGCGCGGCCCTGCTGTGGCCCGGCTGGCGCGGTGGGAGGAGCCACGTGACAGCTCAACACTGCGGCACGACACACAGCTCCCCCCACTTCTTCACCAGAACCGACCCACCAAAAAAGCACTAACGAAAGTCGGGTAAACCAGGAGAGGGTGCTTGGTCTCATAAACTGCCTCCCTTAAATCACTTTGTGACTTTTCTAATTTCCAAAATTAAAAAGGCCTCTGTTGGGGCGCCTGGGTGGTGCAGTCGGTTAAGCGCCTGAATTCAGCCAGGTCACGATCTCGCGGTCCGTGAGTTCGAGCCCCGCGTCAGGCTCTGGGCTGATGGCTCGGAGCCTGGAGCCTGGAGCCTGTTTCCGATTCTGTGTCTCCCTCTCTCTCTGCCCCTCCCCCGTTCATGCTCTGTCTCTCTCTGTCCCAAAAATAAATAAAAAAACGTTGAAAAAAAAATTAAAAAAAAAAAAAAAAGGTCTCTGCCCAGCGTGTCCGGGAGGCCCAGGAACTGAACGCAGGCCTGGGGGGGGCGGGCGGGCACTGGCGCCCCCTCAGGACAGGCCTGGGCCTGCGGGCCGGTGAATCAGGGTCTGACTAGAGTGTGCAGGCCACCGTCCCCGGGTGCTCTCCCCTCTCCGTGAAGCTTCCTGAGCTGCAACCACCTGGGGGCATGAGTCACGCAGGGAGCCCCCACCACACCCGAAGGGCAGCCGGTCACCTGAGCTGGCCACCCTGCCGCGTCCCGGGTCGCCCCCACCCCCCCCATCTCCCTGAGAGCTCCCAGCCACCCCAACCCCCCAGCCCCCCTCCTTACCTGCACCTTGCCCAGGACCAGGCCGATCTGCTCCGTGGCAGTGGACTGCAGGGCCCTGGCCACCAGGACCAGCTCCCCGCCGAGGCCCAGGTGCTGCAGGTGGGTTTCCACGGCCGCCTGGGCCAGCTTGGCAAGGCCTCTGACCAGCATGATGGCGTCCCCCAACATGGCAGTCATCCTCAGGGCTGGAAGAGAGCGGGCCGGTCGGGGAGTGCTCCACACTGCCCCCAGGGTCACCCTCCCACAGGGCAACTCCACCCCGCACTCTGGCAGAGGCCATGGGGGGGGGGGGGTTTGGTTCTTCCACATGACACTCCACCCCCACCCCCGATCCAGGCTGCCAGAGGGGAGAGAGCAAGCGAGGGCCAGGGCTCGAGGTCGGCTCTGGGTGACCCCCGACCCCACACTGGCCCGGCCCTGGGCAGAGTGAAAGGCTCTGTGGAGGCGGGACTGGGGACCCCACAGCCACCCCGTGAGATGCAGAAAGCACGAAGGAGCCAAGTGATTTGCCCCACCGAGTGGCACCATGGGGACTTGAAGCCGGACACACAGATTCAGTCCAGTGCTCGGTCCTCTGGACCCAAACGAGGCTGGGGAGGCAGCGTCCGCCCCCAAAGCGCCTCCCCATAGGGCCCAGAGCGCCCGACCCAAGCCCTCAGGGGCTGCCCCCTCCCCACCCTCAGCCTGGACTCTTTACCAAGCCACGCCTGCGGTCCAGGCCCCAGGGCGGTCCATCCAGGGGACCCTGAGAAGCAGGGCACAGCCAGTAAAGCGCACTGTGGGCGGGACTCCCGTGTGACACGGCCCCCTCATGTGGGCCCGCACTACTCTCCCTTCTCCACTCGGACACAGTGTAAAACGTGTTTAATGCTGGTCAGGGTCCCCGTCCCCAGTGGTGCTTCACAAGGGGCACATGCTCTCAATCACCCGAGTACTTCTTAAAGCCTGGAGGGGCTGCGTGCCGGGGGGGGGGGGGGGGGGGGGGGGAGAGGGTCCTGGTAACACACTGGGGCTGAGGAAGAGCCACCAAGAGGAAAGGGGCAGCAGGGGGCCTCAGAGAAGCAGCCGGGGAGCACTCTGGCCCAGCCGGGAGGAGCTGGCACCAGCAAGGAGTCTCGGAGAGAAGATGGGAACCGGGAGAGGAGAGGCCGGGGGCCCTGCTCGAACAAACACGAGGAGCTGGGAAGGGCCAGACGCACCAGTACGCGGGGCCGGGCGCACAGACGCCCGCGGGCTCTCCCAGGGAAGCGTGGACAGACGCCCGCGGGCTCTCCCAGGAGAGCACGGACAGGGAAGGTCCGGCGAGAGCACCCACCAGGGAGTCGGCCACGGCTCTGGGGCCTGGCGGCTGGCTGCCCCCCACCCCCGCGGGGAGTTCCGCAGGGACGCACCTTCCCCTGAGCGCGGGAAGGCTACAGCTACGCGCATCTGGAAGGAGAACCGCAGTGACGGCCAGAGGAACCCACGAACGCACAGGAGCCTGGACCGCGGAGCTGCCCTGCTACCGCCTGCCGTCCTGCCACCTCAACGGACAGCGGCCACCAGGCACCGGCCGGGGGCTCTCCACACTCGGTCTCTTCCAATTCTCTGTCAACAACCCGGTGACACACGCATTACTGCCTACTTCACAGAGGAGAAAACCAAAGCCAGGGAAGTTAACTACCCTGCCTGGTGTCCCGAGTGGTAGCCCTGGAGTCCGACCCTGGCCCTCCTCTGCTCTGTGCCCACCACACCACACGGCCTCCCCAAACAGCCGCCCTGCTGGCTCCAAGGCACCCTCTCAGGGACAGGGCCCTGCTCCGACACAAATGGGCTGCCTACACCCTCATCAAAGCCAAGGAGGTTTCTGGAAGGTGACCACACCCTTGAGAGAGACAAAGGGGACGGGCTAGCTGGGCCCATCATCTGCCACCATTTCACACCCCCGGCTCTGATGGGATCCTGCTCTTTATGGGAACAAACAAGGGTGAGTCCCACAGACCAAATGTCCCGGCGTGGGGAGAGCTCACGTGGCCGGTGCTGGCTCTCAAACTGCCAGCCCCCTGGCCCCAGCCCTGACACACACAGCCACACCTGAGTCACCACCCCGTATGGGGGAGCCCCAGTGAGAGGAAAAGTTTCCAAAGGAGAGTTAGGGACCCATAACGGTGGATGGAGGCCAGGCCCGAGCCACATCTGTTCAGAAGGGAATCCACCGTACCCCACTGCCCCAAGGGCACCCCCAAACAGGCCTACCCCTCGCTCACCTCCAGATAACCAAAGCAGAGCCTCCCACAGACAGAGACTCCGATGATTCCAAAACCTCACCTTGTCTGCTGATACCGTATCTTCCACAGACCCTCCTAAGACCTATTTAATTCAGACTTCATTTCCAGGCTGAAAGTTACTTCCTCCTGATTCATCCAAGTCACAAGCGCGAACGACAGCTTCTCTGGAGCAGAGCTGAGAAGTGACAGGGGGCAGGTCTGCCCTGCGCTGGCTGGCTGGCCCACCGCACCGACGGAGGCTCAAACTGGAAAGGCCACGTCCAGCCTTGCGCGCTGCAGACACAGGCCTGGGGTCCCCTGGAGCCCGGTCCTCACGGCCCCCCCAAAGGGCCAGGACTGCACCGACTGCACAATGACACATTAAAAACAATTCCTAAGGACAAAATGTTACATAAATTGGCCAAAAATGTTTACATTCCTGCCTTTGGGAGGTAGGAGTAAGTAACCAGGGTCTCTTCCAGTATTTTCCTAACGTTATTGGTCCCACACAACCTACCTTCAAAAAAGGAAAAAAAAGTCATCTAGGAACAGTACACATTAAAAAGGACTGGCTGTGCCTTCTCCCGGTGCAAACGGCAGCGCCCTCGTCCCCAGGGCGGTCCCGACGGGTGCCAGGTGCGTGCACCTGGCCAGCAGGCCCCATCGGGGTGGAGACACCACCACAGAGACACAAGCTTCCTGCTCGCCGTGGTGCAAAGCCTGCTTTTCCCAAGTCCACACGCTCATCTGTGAGCAGATTCACAAGTGGATGCGGATTTCAAACACGCAGCCCAGGCCCGCGGCTGCTCTGACAAACATATTTATTTAACATGCAGGGGCTGCCCCCAACCCCCACCCTCCCGCCACTCCCAAAGTGAGACGGTCACACCCTACTCTACACCACTCTGCAGTGTCTACTCTCCACGGGCAGTGGGGAAAAAGAACGATCTCTCCAGAACTTTTCTCACCTTCCGGTTTTTAAAAAGTGGGTCTCATGGATCTCGGGCACCAGAATCCCAACGTGACTCAGAATTCAGGGACCCGGAATGTGCTGCAATCTCCCCCCCACCCAATCTCTCGGAACGCACAAGCACCAGCTACACCAGGAGGCATTTTCATCACGATCGTAAATAAAAGCAAAAGCCGCCAAACATGTTTAATACACCAATTAAGGCCTCATCTGCACCAGGATTCCATCTGCAAGTACGGGAGCCCTCAGCCCACCAGGCTCCAGAGGGGCTTCTGACTTTGCCCAGAAGGGACGTAGCAAGGAGCGGCCGGCTCTCTGCCTACCTGCCAGGTGCCCCAGAGGGCCTCTCCCCCGAGGAAGGGGCAGCCAAAGTGCCGGGTGGGCAGACGGAGGCAGCAGTGGCGGGGCGGCACTCCCCTTCGGGGTGCCCACTGGGGACCAGCGCCAGAACAAAAAGGCATTTAGTTCTCCATCGCACGTTCAGGAAGGTGTGCTCCCAGCGCTCTGGGCTAGTCCCTGCAGGCCCCAGGTAAGCCTGCCCTGCCCCGGGGCGCCTACGGCCAGGTGCCACGCAGGCACTCCCATGAGGGGCACAGAGACCAACTGAGGCGGACACACGAGGGTCGGGCGCAGAGGAGGCCACTGAGCAGCAGAGACGGTCCTAGGAGCAGGGACACGGGGTCCCAGCTCCGCCACGGCCGCCGACACTTGCCAATTCATCCCTCTTCGGTAGGAGACCCTTTTCTGGTCCCCGCGTGCTAAACTAATTTAGCTAATTACAGGAAGTAAATAGACTATTATCTAAAGAGAGAAGGAACACGAACAGACGCAGCTCAGCACCCCCAGGGACAGACGCTGAAGAAACACAGGCAGCTTCCCTGGACGTGGGGCCCTCAAGCTCCGAGAATTCTCCTACCGACCCTTCACCCTCTGACCCTCCCCACGGCTTCTGGGACACTCCCTCACTCACTCGGGTGTTCCCACACATTCGCCGGGAATTGCCAGGGAGTGGGGACCCTCGAATCCGGCCTCCAAAACTAAAGAACACCACAAGGCGATGCCTAGCTGGCCAGACAGAACAAGACGCGCCAGCAGGGGAAAAGGTGAATCGAACAGGCGATCCCGACAGCCGTAAAGCAGACGAAGGCACGTTCCCACGCGGGACCTGCACGCGGGGATGTACTGTCGGGGGAGGGGGGGGTGGGCGACACCCCACCCCCCCCCCCGGAGCCAGAACTCGCCATCTGTCACTCGTCTCTCCTCTCGAGGGGACAGCGGGCCGGAGACAGGGTGAGGGCTCACCAAGCCAGTGCCGGACCCCTTCGCGGCTCTGAAGCATGGCGTGAGCGGCACACGCCCCCCGCTGGCCTCAAACCGCCCTGAGCTGTCCCCAAGCCTCGGGGTGGCTGGTATGTGGACCCCAAAGTAAGCTGCACAGAAAGCGCTTGTCTTGGGGAGTTGCGTGTGAAGCGCGTCCAACTGCCTCAGATGTCACCCTGTCGCCCCCATGTCCCCCGGGCATGAAGCCCAGCACGTCCCAATCTGGGCTCCCCCCCCCCCCCCCCCGGGCTGCCCGTCCGCAGGGATCTGCCCACACTTGTCTCCTACATCCTCACCTCTCCCACCTCCCTGTCCGCTTCCCCCAGGGCAACTGCCCCCCTGCCCTAGGCCCTGCCCGCTCCCGCCCCCACAACCCCAGCTTCTCTTGCCTTGTTCCCTCCACTCACCGACCCAACGGGGTCAACCCAATTCTCCTGCCGGCCTCAGCATGGGATGCGGTCGAACTTTCTTCCTACCGCACTCAACCCGAACATCACCTCTTCTGGGACACCGTCCCCAGTGTGCCCTTCCCGCCCCCCACCCCTGCCTCCGCCGCCGCCCTTCCCCATCAGTCCTACTGGCAGTGACTGTCCCCTCCCCTAAGGGGCTGTCAGCCAGAGCAGGGCAAGGACCACCCCAGTCTTCCGAT